GAACAATATTGAGTATAATCATTCATTAACGTTAAGGTTTTCTTAGCATAGTATTTGCATGTTTTAACGACTCTCTCTCTCACTAACAACCATCGCGTTATGCGGGATCCATGTGCAGTTGTCAAAGTGAAATCAGACAATCGTTGATGATACTGTATTGATGCCGTATTGACGTTCCGGGATTGAGAGTTCGCATACTATATCATAGTTAAGGTTGAATTAGTAATAAATTGATCAATACAGAAGTGGTTGTGTGATTCTTTCCTGAAATCTATGCATAAGATCTGCTTCTGCGTTGAGATTTGAACTTGGTGACCTTAATAAACACACTAATACATACTCAGTAAATGTTAAAGCGATAACGGGGTGAACCGGGGTCTGGTTATCATAACGACTTGTATTATCATAATTACACCCACTCGCATAATTAATCCGATTACCTCTCGAATTGGCATAATTAAAATGTGCGTAATTATATAAATTAACATATTTCCGGATAATTACACATTTGGCCAAATTTCATTTAATTATTATTATTTTCACTGAATATTCATAACCCACATATACAACATAATAATTTCACCCACGCACGCATACAACATAACAAATTTTCATTACCCAACATATACAACAAGGCTGCAGTATTCAATATTTGGGTGGGGGAGGCTCCGGACTACATCGCCTAAAGCCCCTGCGTTTATCCTGAACGTAAATCCACAGCAATTGTACATTCACGCACACACACAGCAGATGCTCACACGCATGCGCACACACACATATGCACTTCTCACGACAGCAACAAAAACTCGACATTTACAAAATGTGGCCGGGCGGCTCAGAGGTCAGAAGGCCGAGCCGGTACAGCTGAGAACCGGGGTCTGAATCCAGGCAGCCGTCTTTGATTACACCGGCTGCACTTGGGGATCTCGGACGTAGTTTTGGGATATTCCCTTCTGCGGGCTCTTCTCGAAACACAAAGGGGTTGCCCTACTTCGCGAGAGTTTTTAATGGGTTCTTGACATCCGCGATACCCGCATGGAATCCCTTGCGTGAGAATTGATTATATTCGATTCGTATACGTTGCATGTAATTAGTTCACGTGAACCCTGATGACGACGGTGGGTGACAAAGCAAATTTTGTGAAGAGGTCAATTTGTTAAGAGACCTATTCGGTCCTTCTTGCCCTGAAAAACATTTGGCATTGAAATCTTGAACAGCATCGGTCTCGTGCGTGTACAGTGGGTGATCAAATATTCATGAAGGTGTGGCGTGTTTGAGTATTCACTCTCCAATACTCGTCCATAGCCCTTGCCTCCAATCTTCTCTCAATCTCCATGTCCCGGTCGTGATGAATGAGGTCCAGGTAGGTTGCCGCAATATAATTTTGCACAATTCGGCACGAGATGCCTGCTACTTTTTCCACAGTCGACCCAAACCCGGACACATTTCTCAGCGAGCACTGGATCTGCCAGACCTTGCAGGATCACTGTAATGCAGTTCAACACAATTCCTGCCACCTGAACACAGATACCTCTTTCTGCACGATGCAGGTAAAATCTGGACAGGTGGCAACCCTAAAATATAATGTGATATTATATCTCACGATATAATGATTATCGCAATGTAATTTTCCCGTAACTTTGCAATTGTATTTCACACGTATATAGACGTGTGTGTTGTCCTTTGATGCACTTCAAGTAGGAATAAGGATTGCTTAAAGAGTTAATCAACTACAGTTCACTCAACATAAGCCTGCCGTAAGTATTATAATCATTGTAAATTTACAATATGTAATGTTTATAATGCTAACGCTGTCAAAAAATTTGGACATTTCGTCACACGCCATCAATTGGTGCGTATAAATTCTTAACAAAGCCCTGATTTAATGTTAATAGGAAGGTCTACACAAGTTTCATAACTATTGTCAATGTTACTTATTGTTTTTCCAGAAATATTTGACCAGGAGAGGAAATATAAAAAAAAACACACAAGTGAGCAACGATTATCGTGGTATGATTTTAACAAAAAGTAATGTCCCGTAAACGAGAACGTGCAAGCCTGCCCTGCAGGAGCAGACTGGCATGGAGACATCTGTGTGGGCTGTGTGTGTAAACCACAGCCGGTGAACAGGTTTGAGGTTACTCAGCTCCGTTAGCGCCACGGTAACAACTTCTATTCCTCTTCGATACGCTGGTTTAATTTCAACCTCGCTTCGTAGAGTTACAGAATGAGAGACGCTCTCTCCCCAGCGCCGCTCATTAATAATGACTGATGCGGAGACACGAGATCGGGGCGTGCGGGCGGTAGGGAAGGGATGGTGGTGATGGAATTGTGGGTGATGACGGAGAGGATGACGTGGAGCAGAGGGTGATGGTGCGTGCCGGTGATCCAGCGGGTTGGTGGGTCACGTAGAAGGCCGCTCGTGAAATTGGCCAGGAGGTGGCAGTGCAGTAAGTGGGTTTTGTGAACACGCTCTGAGACTTGGTGAGACTTTTATCCAGCGGTGGAGAGACACTGGATGATGATGAAATTAATTATCGTGTTCAGAAATTAGGTTGATCTTAGCAATTTAGAGTTTGTGATGCGACTTTAAAAAAGATTAACCTTGGTGCCTCTAAAGCTAAATAATCTACCCCTCTAAGCCTTTCCTTATCTTAAACATTACCCCTAACCGCAGGCCTAGACCTCACTTGAACCCATGGTCCATCCATTATGTTGCAAAGTGATTGCTTCACGTGAACCCGGCAGCCACTGAAGAAGGCTGGCTCGGCATTTACCACAATACCAAAAGTAAAATCTACTCTAGATTTGAAGCTTTCGTGACTGCAAGGATTCGGTAAAGTCACTTAGGTAAAAAATGAAATTAAAATTTGACGGAGACTTGTGTTGCCTCCGAAACGTCGTGATTTTTATTCTTTTATTTTTATTAATTTTAATTTCATTTTTTACCTACGTGACTTTACCGAAAGAACTAAGAGTGTATAATCTACTCCTCACTAGTTGCCTCCTGAGAACGATGAGCAGTGCTACGCCGTCTTCAGAAACGCCGCATCTCAACATCCTCATCCTGGGTTCTCTGCACGGCGTCACTTGTCAGCGTCCAAGGGGCCGTTCATAAATGACGTCACGCACCTGGGGGGGGGGGGGTCAGACATTTGTGACGATGTGTGACGAGGGGGGGAGGTTTGAGAAATGTGACGTCACATCAAAATGCGCAACTTTAAATGATTGTTATAAAAACATTCCTACAACATCAGAGTGCAGCGCCACATTAAATACGCACTACAATGACAATAGTTTAAAGCGATTTGAAGCATGTTTTATTTTCAAAATAGAAATATGGTTTTTTTGGGGGGGGGCAGAGCTTTGTGACGTCATTTTGAGGGGGGGTCTGACTTTTCATGACGCCGTGTGACGAGGGGGGTGGGGGTAAAAAAAAATCGTCCAGAATCGCGTGACGTCATTTATGGACGGCCCCCAAGATTCGTGGCCGTATGATTCTCCCGATATGATTGTTGTCCGCTAAAGTTGAATTTCTGCGCTTGTGAGATGTATGGTCGTCTGCCGATATCCTAAACACGAAATGATCATCTCCTCCCTGGTTACGCGAACATCTCCGGTGCAATGGCCAACACCCACGTGTCACCTCATCCAAAATGAGATCACCTTCTCTTAGGGATGGACCGAGGCAGAACGCCGTTCACATTCCCGCGTCGCCGCTCCTTGCGAGCCACACAGCGGCGCCGTCTCCAAGCTGCTCGGTCTTTTAAACTTCACACGCGCGCGGACACACACAGAGATCGTTGCGGGCACGGAGCCAGCGTTTGAACCAGAAATACAAATCCGCTGAGAACGGCCGGCCAGGGGCAGCAATCGCCGCACTTCGCACCGCAACAACGGGGCGCGTTGTGAGCGAGCCGCAATGTTGCGCGCGTGTGCGATGGCAAGAGAGCGCAGGGCACGCCTCGTGAACAAGTGACATAACGCACGTGCACACCGACACGTTTGTGCGCCCGCCCGCCCGCGTGCAAAATAGCGCGCGCTTTGTCTCCAAACATGCCGCGTCTGCGGCCCCGTCCCGTAACGCGCAAAGGCACAAAGCCCTCGTCTGTCGGCCGACATCCTGGCCGTGCCCCCCCCCCCCGCGCGTCCCTCCTTGAACTTATTCCCAGGAAGCGCGTCTCGATGCCGCCGCTGGCAGTGGGCCCTGTCTCGCGTTGCGTAATGCGGGGGGCGAGTCGCCCGGCCGCTCCCTCGGCCCCTGTCGCGAGGTCGGGGCTCCGCTCGTCACGCGAGTTGTCCGCACGGACGCCGGCCTCGGGAGCGCACCGCCACCACGCAGAGATGCCGGGACGGGGGCTGGAGGGGGGGGTGGACCCCGCGCCACCAAATGTCCCTTGCCCCCCCCTCCACACCCAGGTTCACTCTCCCCTTGCGGTAAATCTTATCTTCTTGTGTAGATGTAAATAGCAGGGTCTTACTGCAAGGCGCTTTACAACAGTTATAAATAAAGTTTTTTTTTTATCGGGTTAGATCGCGTAAATATCAATGTGTCGTTAAAGCCGCCACCACCCGACACAACCAATTTGTAAGTAAACAAAGACGATGAGTGGTGTTATGAATGGTGGTGGTGTAGTTATGGTGGCAGGAGATCAGGTGGGAGTGGTTGCGGAGGGCTTGGGGTAGTGATAGAGGTCGGGGTTGGGGTCGTGATTGAGGTCGGGGTTGGGGTAGTGATAGAGGTTGGAGTAGTGATAGAAGTCGGGGTTGGGGTCGTGATTGAACATGGCTCCACAAGGCGTACAGGTCCGAGTACGAAAGTGCGAGTGGAATGCTCTCACCACGACCCCACAGGGTTCATGAACGATGCAGTGTACGAATTGCTGAAGCCGGTTACCGGCGGTTGAACTGTGAACCTTCTGTGCGGGCTGCGATGCTTAATGTTGACCCCCTGCTGTGTCTCTCACCCCTTCCCGTCGCCCTCCCTCCCCGTGCATCAGTGGCTGGTGGCGTTACCTCCACGCGTCCCTCTACACGCTCGATATCCTCTTCCTCCTCGCTGCCCACACGCGCGCCATGCTCGCCGACCCAGGTGAGGCAGTGGCGTGGAACGTCGGGTGTGTAGGCGGTGCAACTGCACCGGGGGTGGGGGGGGGGTGAGCACTTTCGGTTGTGTGGGGGGCCTGCGGTGCCAGGGTTGGGCAATGCAGGCAGCTCATTCCCATACAGATGGAACAGCTGGAGACGACACGCGCTCGGCCGCCTTCTTCCGGAAGGCCAGGGTACATTTCAAAGTTCAAAGTTAATTTATTAGGTATAGCCCTGTGAGCCATTCGGCTCTTGAATCGGGTGCAACCGCAACAAACAAAAAACAAAAACATGAACAAGAAAATATCTTAAAGTGACTATGTGCAAACAGAAAATCCAAGAAAAGACAGCAAAATATTGCAGAAAAAATCACCATACACCAACCCTGTGCAAATATCCCAGTGGGATGCAAGTCAAACAACAACAACCACAAGACAACTTAGATTAAGGCCAGAAACCTCGGGGCTCACTGGGAATGGAGTTGCACAGTACTCGCGTGCGATCCACCACCCCTCGCTGCCTCCAAAGGGCCGCGTGATAGATGTGCGCCACCACTGTCCTGGCGTCACGTTCGATGTGGGACCTCGTGCCAATCAACGCGCGGTAACCGACACGAACACATCGGAGAGCTGCACTCCCCGCAGCCCGTGTCTCTTCATTTAAATCTTTAACTCAAACACTCTTGCGCAACCCCGGTAGGGTACATGCTACGTGAACCGGCAGTGCGCAAGTATTTAATTATTCATCCGTTTATTTGTGTGTTCGACTGGATGTGACTTCCACCGCGCAAATGAAACAACGATTAAGTTACGGGTTTAAAATCTTTAGTTACGCGCCAAGTCACGCGTCTGCTACGTTCGCCTCAATCGACACCCTGGACACCCTTGCTAATGAGACAGACGCTCCATCTCGAGGGTGGGGACATTTGAACGGGTTCATTAAAACTGTCCGGCGCAAACCGCGAGAGCGTTGGCGGCTTGTAAATATAACCGCGGAAGCTTCAGACTCCGCGGGGGACAGCACGGAGGGGGGTGGTCGGGACACAGCCCGCGTGTGTGTATCACGACAAGACAATGGCTGCTTGTGCTTCTGAGCTGCATCTCCCTTTTAATGGACCGGTTGGGGGGGGGGTAGCTCGTTTGCAATAAAAGGTCCCATTATAGCCTCAATGGCAGACTGTCGTTGAGGATTAATAGCGTGGCAGGCTTGCAGCGTCATAATCTGCCAGAGTCTATTTCCAGCTCATTATGTTGCCCCCCCCCGGCGGTGAGCTCACGGTAATCAGCTTCTGCCGAAAGATTTGCGGCCGCACGCCGCAAAGATACCATGAAAATTAATCATCCGCAGCCCCTTCGTCACTCCACTGTTGGATGAAGTTCTGCCCGTGCAGTGGCGGCCGAGGTTGTTCGAGCGCAGCTCACCAAGCTGGCCAGCGCGGGGCTGCCGAAGGCGCTGATGTTAGCCGTGGCCGTGAATCGAACTCGGCTCACTGTGTGCATGGACAAGTGTCCTGAACACCCTGCCACCGCTTCACCCGACTCAAATAAAACGACTATATTGAGTACTAAACAATAAAAATACAAGGGTAAATTCTAGATTTGAAGCTTTCGTGACTGCAAGGATTCATACTCTTAGGTTTTTTCGGTAAAGTCACGTAGGTGAAAAAATAAAAAATAATAAAAAGTATAATAACAAGGGTAAATACCTTTATTATGAATAAATATGAACTCTAAACATTAAAAGAAAATGTTTAGTCCATGAATCTATGCAGCTGAAATTCCAGCAGTATGTGGCCTGTTAAAACAATGCCACTAGGCTTCTTGATGTCATTGGATAACATCAGTGACCATTGGTTTCTGAACTTGTCCTGGACCTCCCATAGGTCAGCTCAGCCTTATTTGGGTACCTGGCGCAGTGTGTAAATGCCACCACTGGGGAGATGAAGGTGGCCGGGCGTGATTTTGAACATGGCCCCCTCGTGTGCCGTGCTGACCTTAGCTGCTCACTAACAGCACTTGCCCTTTTCAGTCGAAATGTTTGAGTGTACGAAGATCTCCGTCTCTGTGTGTGTAGAGGTTTGTGCTGGTTCTAACGTGTGTCTTATGTAGAACCAGCCGATCTGATTCAGTCATTGATTGCTCTTCCAATTTATCGGTTCGGTTGCTCGACCAATCGGACAACACCCAAATAGTTGGTCACCTGTGCCGCTGGACGGGAGGTAATGGGGGCGGGGCTTGGTGACTGAATTGGCATCATTCATCAGCCGTGCGTCACGCTAAAAATCGCTTTGTTGGGGGTTTCCTGCCTTATTTTTTCTAGATTTTTTTTACAGTTTTTTTTATATTCGCATTTACGTCACATGGCGCGATTCCAACAATAAACACGTCGTCCGGCGTTACGGGTCGTGCGCGTCCTTGTTTACAGGGCTCAATGTTGGTATTTTACAGGGTTGGCTGAACTTTTAGTAGGTTTCCCACCTACCTCGAGGAAGGATTATGCAGGCGCCAGCCGCAGTTTTTACAGGGGGCACCGAGTAACCAACCCCCCAAAAAATGGGAGTCACGAAGAATAACCTCTCGTTGATCAATCGACTTAATCGTCGCGCGACGCTCGCCTCGCGTGCCCCGCTCCGGTTTGCTGCAGGTGTGGTCCCTCTGCCCGCGACAGCCATCGACTTCTCGGACATCCGTTCGAGCGCCACGCGTAACGGCGCGGAGCAGGTGCGTGCCCTCCCCCTCCGCCAAGCCGTCGCTCACCCACCATCAGCCTCACCAGCCCGCCCGCCCGCCCGCCACTCTCGCGCTCCCCCACGGACTAGACGGGTGGCCTCGTCCGTCTTACCCGCTGGACACTAGACGCATCGGTCAATAATGCGGTGGCCTTAGAAGGAGATAGATATACGTAATAGGCGATGTTTCAGGCGCTCGCCCAACTTCATTGCACTTAATGGCCTGTCTTCATAGCACGTAATACATTGATTGCACATGCAGCATTTATGTGTTATGTCATTGCTAGACTCATCAGCTTTTATACATTCTATTCCTTTTAAGCCCGCAGTGTTACTGACACTACGGTCTTTGCCGCCAAGTTTATCCCACGTGCAATATCGGAATCAGGCCACGAGACGGAGAATCCATTCGGATCTCACGTATATCAGCGCATCGCCCCGTACGGTACAGAGTGACCGCACGCAAGCAGACATCCTGGAGCTAGCCATGAGATCCCTCCAAGTGACCTTTGGTTCAGAGGTTAGGCTCCAGAGGTCACACGGTAGGGGTGAATCACTTTTATATCCCACCCTGTTACAGAAAGCAATGTTTGTGACATGAAAAACCCAATTTTTAAATTTTAATAATTCAGCCAATTGACGTGCAGCAACAAAATGAATTTGATGCGATGTTGTTGTCGAAGGCCTGGTGCGGTGTGGAGTAAACATCGACACGAGGAAGACAAGGCGACCGAGCGTACGTGGTGCTGGCCACCCACCCCTTCGTGTGCTGTACCGGCCTTCACAGGTGCTCCCTAACGGCACTTGCCCCAACAGTCTGTTAAGGTTATACGTGGGATCTTTGTCTTGTGTGTGTGTGTTGCGGCGAGCAGGCCAGCGAGTCGTGGACCGTGTGCAATCGGTGCGAGGCGTACCGGCCTCCCCGGGCCCACCACTGCCGCATGTGCCAACGCTGCATTCGACGCATGGACCATCACTGCCCCTGGTACCGCCGCGTTGGGAGGGGATTCGCGGTGGGGGGGGGGGGGGCAAGACAGGGATGGGGGAGTAGAGCAAATAGGTTGTTGACTCTTGTTACTCTCGACTTCCTGGATCTCTTCCTGATGTTGTTTGACGTAGTTTCAAACGAAACGCCGTTATCAAATTGTCAAATTTGGCTTTGTTAACACTTAGCTCGCTCAGACACGTGATGAGTAATTTTTTCGACCACGTAGGGTGGTGGAGGGTTTTAACGACAAAGGTTTGGTCCGATCGATCGTTACATCGCGGCCTAACCGAAAAACAACCTTTTACGAATCATAACATTGGCTGCTATACTTGCACAGTCACACAGGCAGGCAGACATACTTCCCCCTTTCCTGCCCAGCCCCTTTACGGAGATCGCTGAGTTCACGCTCTTGGGACAACAGCAGCAGCAGTCCTCCTCTGTTAGCGGTCACCATTATCATCATCATATCCCATCTGCTGTCATTCCTGTCCACTCTCGTGCCTCCTCCATCCCTACCTCCTTCCCCCCTCCCCCGCCCCACCTCCCCCTTGTCCTCTACCTCCCTTCCACTGGAGCAGGGGGTCAACAACCAAAATAACAAGAAGGGTCCTTTTTTTTTCGAATTCGATACAACTCAATATTTCAAGAGGCGCAATGCACGCGAGTACGTACATACACACATTACGTCACAGAGCAGTCCAACCCCTGCGCTAGCGGCTGCATCGCTTTTGCCAGATTCCTGTTTGGTGGCGTTATTCGGACGCGACCACAGCGCCTTGGGTGTGCAGATTTGTGCCAGGAAGGCGGCACGTCTTTAGGCGAAGAATTACAATTGACTCGACGCGACATACCCACATCCACCCGCAGAATGTCGAAACCGGTCCACAGTTGTGCTTGCGTTGAACCGATGCTGCTGAAAAATCATGCCCTCCCAGAAGGCCGTGTGGCTGCTGGGATGTGCGTAAAAAATAAACAATTACGTTCCTTTAATGCGGACGGACAGATATGTGAAGCAGGTGAGTCGTTGGCTTGTTTATTTTGTTCCTCTCTATTATCGGCCTTTCCAACTTCAAGTTCTCTCTTGAAGATGGACTTGAGCTTGACACTAAGACAGATATACAGAATGTGTGCATATATATAAACACATAAAGGAGGTGTGTGTCTGAAGAGTAACCCGGGAGACCGGTGCCCGTGTACGTGTGTGTGTTTTTGTTCCTTTTCTGTTTATTTTTTGTTCTTTTAAATTCGCCCAAATATAAAGTGCGGTCCACCTGGCTCCCGCATGGCGCAGGACACCGAGGGCGCGGTTTGTAAACAGACTGCGAATGTCAGCGCTAGCAGCAACAGCAGCAGCAGCAGTGGCAGCACCTCAAATGAAATGCTGTCCAGCTCAATTTCGGAGGCATTTTCATTGATGATGATCTACCATACATCTGGCGATCCCTGGCGTTCATGGTTATAAACGCACGCTCGGAATTTACACCGAGAGAGAAATTGACACTGAGAGACAGGATTCTCTCGTCAAGGAGCGTAAACCACCAAGTGAACTCCGGTCACCCTCGCAGTGGCGGCTTTTGGCTGGGCATCGAACAAAGACGGTTACCGCATCGCGCGCTTTCAGGTGCGCTTCTGTGGCCGTCTGGAGCGCTCTTCCTTGCCACGTAAACGAAACGTGATAAACATTACCAATTGGCTTTGTCGGGTGGTGGTGGGTTTGACGACACATATTTACGCAAAATAACCCAAGAATACTCTTTGTTGTGGACATACATAGGTCAAAGGACTACTGCTGGGGATCCCTTGAAAATCCCCTTATCCACACTAGGTGGTGCTGTATCGTCTCACATTTCCCTGCTGTGGAGGTCTTCGTCACAGGGCAATAAAATGAGAAAAATTAGTTTGACCTCTGAGTTGGATATTTAGCCAAACGGAGCAAAACGCTAAGTTCAATACGACGGGGATATTTTTTTTCTGAGCAGCCATTGGTGGCCGAGCTGAGGCCATCGGCCCACTACCCCCGAGGGCCCGATTTGATCGCGGGCAGCCGACGCCTGGATTCAAATCTCAGGACCTCAGCGACGGTCCGGCTCGATGACCTGATAACCCCCGGAGCCCCTCGAATGCCATGTACGCAATTCGGTTTAAAAACAACAACAACAACAAAAAGCGTCTTTCTGCAGCACAATCCCAAGGTCTGTGGAAGCACGAGCATTCCACGGCGTCTCCATCTCGCTGGGAATCTCCGTTCGGCCGTCGCTCCATTCGCTGAAGCAGAACCGTTTTGGGATTGCGGTGGACAGGGGTGCGAATATTTCGATCATTTGTGGAAATGGCTCCGAGTCACCCTTGAATTTGACAACTGTGCAGCTTAATGGGGGGGGGGGGGGAGGGCTTCACACGGGACACCAAAGCTTCTGACATCGGGGCCACCTTTGACTTTGCGTGCATTTACCACGGGAGGAGGTGGGATGGTGGGCTGAGTTGACCTCCATCTGGGATTTGATGTCGTAGCCGTCAAATTTTTGCGAGTCTAGAGACTCCCCGAGGAATGGGTAGATAAATAAAGGACATTGTTATTATAAACACTATTCTGCCGCAGTGGGTGATAACCTGAGTAAAATATAAAAGGGCTAGTGTGTGTTAATAGGTGCTCGCTCACCGTCTGTGCACCTGTGTGAGTGTGTTTTACGAGTGCAATTGCACGTGCACATGGGTATGCACATGCATGCATGCGTGTGTCTGTTTATTTACATGTCCCTGTTATGTGTGCACGGGTCTGTGTGTGCGTGCGTGCACGGGGAGCGGGAGTGTAGCGGTTCGCGCATTGCGCTACGAACGGAGCCACCCGAGTTAGATTCCCGCTCATGGCCAACACCAGTGACGATTATTTGTCTTGGGCCACCCTGAGGTCGACTCAACCTCAAATTAGTACCTGGTGCGGTGGGTAAAAACATCGCCACTGGGGAGACAAGGCATCTGGGCGTGGTGCTGGCCACCCCCCCCTCCCCCCTCGTGTGCCGTGCCGGCCTTCACAGGTGCTCGTGAACAGCACGTGCCCCAACAGTCTGTTAGGAGCTATATGGGGGACCTTTGCCTTTTGTGTGCGGATGTCTTTTCTCCGTTTACATTTGCGTGCCCTCGGTAAGCGTGTGTCGTCAGTAATTACGATAGTGTCTCTGTTTACGTGTCAGTGTTTGTGTACGTGTGACTTACGACCTCTTGCATCCTCACCGCTGCCGTCATCCCGGGCCGCTGCTTCGAGTTTAGCCAACACTTTGCGGAGATCCCACACTGACGATGCCTCGTCGTGTCACATTCTTTCAGGATAAACAACTGCGTGGGGGAGCTGAATCAGAAGTACTTCATCCAGTTCCTCCTCTACACCGGTGGGTGTCCGTCGAGCCACGTGACGATGTGTCCATCCCACGAATAAAATCGGTTCTTGCGATCACGATACCAACATCGGACTCTGCACACTCTTCGCTCCAGCGGCCATTATTATTATTATTTTTACACTTTTTTTAACGAGGAAAACCTCGCTGAGTCTCGAGATTCTTTTTCGGGAGGGTCCTGCCAAGATTTAGCAGTCGGGGCGGTGATGTTGTGTTGCTGCCTTGTGCGATCCTCAATCTAGTGGGCTAATTAGTGGCTTATTGGCCATCCTCAACACGCACCGTCTGCTTCGGAGTGGATGTTGAAGATCCCGTGACGTCATCCGAAACGAGTAGGCCGTCGCCTCCGGCATTACAATCACAACTGCTCGGTGCTCGGACAGTTCGTCAGCCCCTGAGAGAGGGACAGCCAGACCCAGGGCTTTAACCATGAACACATGAACTCAGCAGCGCTGGCAGAGTGCTGGCACAGTGCACTTGAAATGGCCATGATGAACGCACTGATTTGAGAGACCCCGACGCAGCGCTTTAACCACAAACGCCAGGATCGTCTCGGCGGCGCCGGCTCCACCCCCTGGGCCACGCGGCCACCTCTGGGATAGCCACAGCTGGATGGTGTCCACTGCACTGGGGCTCGTTTGTTTACGTTTATGCCGATGGCGGGGGGGGCGGTCAGTGAGGGGGGCAGTGGGGAAGGGGCAGTGGGGGCCACGGGGGGGTTTCCATGCTCGTGTGCCAGTGCGGTAGTGAGGGCGGCGAGATTCTTGGGAAGGTGCCCACCTGGGGGTTGTGTTCGATCGCTCGCCCTGCGGATTGCGGTTACGTTACGGCGGCCACTCGTCCTGACGGTGTTGATCCTTGGCACGTGCTCGCACGAGCGTGCGTTTCGTCCGCGATCTTCTTCCGGGACGGACGCCCGTTTGTGTACGATGGTGTGCATCGTGTTTGTGGTGTGTTCTTTGTTTGTTGCGTGTGTGTGTGTGTCATGCGTGTTGATCGTATGTTTATTATATGATCTGCCAGTGATCTCAGTCATCCCATGGCACCTGGGTCTGTCCCGTGATCTGCCAGCGAGCCTTGGACACTTGATGTGGGCTTAAAATGCACCTGGCCTGGCACAAATACTGTGGTGACGTCACCACCACTTATTGGGGAATGGCGGTTGTTGTTGTAGTTGGCCATGTGCTGGTCGCGTGCCGTGTATGTTGTGTGTCGTACGCGCTGTACGTGTGGCTTGCGTGTTGATTACGCGCGTTGTGTCTGTGCCCCAGGCATCGGCAGCATCTATGCACTCCTCCTGGTCCTCGCCAAGTTGGTGACGAGTGGCAAAGAGAAGAAACCTGAGGAGGAAGCGGAAAGCCAAGCCTCAGTGTAAGCATAGTCACTGTCACGACTTCATATGGGCTCGAGTCGTGGCGCAGTGGTTATCGCTCTACTCTATCAACCCGGCAACCCAAGTTCAATTCCTTGCCACAGCTACACCGGTCCGAGCCCCTCCCTTTAACCAACCCGCACTGACCATCTCTGTGACCTTCTCTGTGACCTTCTCTGTGACCTTTGACCTTTGCTTCTCACAATAGGGGGCGGCACTTTCCCACCCGCCCTGCCGCAGACAGAAACGGCTGCCACACCATTACTTACTCATTCAAAACCTTTACTTAACTAGCTTATTTTGTCTCGGCAAGGCCCACTGAGCTACATAGCTCTTTTTCAGAAGCGACCTGGCCACAAATGATAGCTCAACGTGGTGGCTTATCGTGTGGACATCTATTGCAGATAAATACTCTAAACGCACGTTGATTCTAAATGTGGAGGGAAAAACGGATGACCTGGAGAAAAATCCACGCAACCATGGGGAGAGCATGGAAACTCCAAATATACAGCAGGCATCAGGGCCGGGATCGAATGCACGACCTCCTGTATACCAGGCGATGTAGTTCACATCTTGCCACCTGACGCCCTATAACATCCTTAAGGGCTGAAATTTTGCCAAATCAAGTGCGGAACCAAATTTAACATGACGATGATACAGTGCATGTTGTAAATTAATGAAAATACAGAAACTATGGCCAACGTTTTAAGTTAAAAGAACATCGAAGAACATTGTCCGAAATAATTTGTGTTTATTTCTATTTCGAATTCACTTTCTGTTGCGCCAGTGACATCGTGTTTTTCACGAGCTGAAGAAATATACGTTCCGAACTCTCACAGCGAGTAGTGTTACAGAACATCGTGTCAAAGATTGACGCCGGAAACATGACTTCATAGGTCCACTTCTGAAATCACTTGAGTAGCGTCATGTTTGCTGGTAAGGGAACACCTATTATATGCTCTGTGAATCGTGTTTATCAAACGTCAATCGGACGTTTCTTTGGGGGCATATGGGGGGGGGGGGGGATTTTCAAAGCTGGAATATTAAAAATTCGGTGGAAATCAATCAAATTGAACACGATGGGTGCGATGGGGGTGTTCTTGGCACAGGCGTAGGTGGCACAGTTGAGGCCATCTACTCTACGTGGCAGAATCCAGTTTGATCACGGCTGTTCCGAGTCGCCCAAGTGGATTTTGGAAACGCACCGTTACCACAAATTCATCTCCGCGCATTTAAAGCGGCCTCGCTCGTGGCACAAGAACGCGCGCGTCTACGTGCGTACGTGCGCCGCACCCCCCCCCCTCGTCCCCCTCCTCCATGCATTAGCACAGAATGCGTGGAATGTGAATGCAAACAAAGCTTAATTCGATTTTCTGCACCAATTTTGCCATCGCCACACATTCCGCGCAAAGGATGCGTGTGCTGCGTCCCATTTATCAATTATATCTTTTTTTTATCTCTCAAATATTTTGCAATCCATTTTTTTTCTCTCTCTCTCTCTCTCAACTTCAATGGGGGCGGCGGTAGCTCTCTCCTCACCCTTGGAGCCTTTCCATGGAGTGTGGCGGGAAATTGTAGATCTGGTTTTTGTGACGCACGCGCTCACGCACGTCCCATTCCGCCGCTTTTTTTTTTTTTTGGCCGCGACTCTGCTCCGCGTGTTTTTGTTGGGAAGGTGCGGGAGACGTCTCGGGCCAAACAACCTGGTCGCTCGTTCCATCCACCGTGACGCACGCTTTGTGCCGTCTGTTGTCCACCCAACCGCTGGGCCACTCCAAGCAACGCAACCGATCGACGTTTGGCATTAGCAAAATACGCAAACCAAAAGGGAATCAACTCTTATCTCAAGTTTTAGCCCGCGGCCAATATTTCTCAACCTCCAGCTTGAATTGTTGGAAACCCCACGCGATGTTTATTTAGCTGTTTCTGTTTCTTTTATTTCCCTGTTTTGGGTTCTCTTCGTTTTAACACGTAAGGTTTCGCGATTAATATTATTCATAATAAAGGTTTTTGGGTTAGATCGCATAAGTATAAATGTGTCGTAACCCTCTACCACCCGACACATCCAGAATATTCTGGCAAATCGCCCGATGATGCTGGATGTAATTACCAGCGTAACGTCGTTCTACTCAATTTGTAAATGTTGTGGATTTACTCTCCAACACACCATTGGGCTGAAGCATTGTTTACGTGACAAACCTTACTGGCTGTGTCGGGTGGTGGAGGGTTACGACACATTTATGCTTACGCGATCTAACCTAAAAACCTTTGTTATGGGTTCCGATCCTCCTTGGAATCCTATACATCTAAATCAGCTCAAGCCTCCCTAAGTCACATGACCGTGTGGCAACCCCCACCCATTTCCTCTCGATCGCGGTTGGCTGCGTACGGCGCGAAAAAACTTCAACATACATGCACACATTTCCCGTACTTCTCTCTTTCCCAATCCTTTTCCTTTTGCCATTCCTCCTCCCCTTTCTCGGTTGCTTTATTTCCTGGTTGTCTCGCCCAACTGTTTTCCGATTGGCCATGCCCTTTGCATAAATTGAGGCCGTGAAACAGGAAGTGGCCGTGGAAGAGCTGCAGAGACGATAGAAACCAACGCCTTGAACGTAATCGGGAAAAGACGTCCTTGGCTCGCGCGGCTGTCAGCCCGCTCACGATCATACCTGTGAGCCACCGTCATCGTCCGGTTTGTGCGGTGCCAAGCCTTGTTTACAGATCTTGTCTTTGTAGCTGCACAACAACATGAGCTCAAGCGCTTCGAGATCGCGAACAGCGGCGCACTTGTTGTTGTTGGCGATCTGTGGGAGCTTCTCTGGCAGTATCGAGATATTGCATGATTACAAAATAAGGCTTCACCCTTTCTGGCATAAAATACACGAGGTGTTAAGATGCTCAAACACCAAATAGACAACCTATTAACAAGCATCGAGTCGGCATGAACAACACATACCTGTGGTAAAAAAATGCAAACAAATATGCTTTGATGCTGTACGTGCTGTCCTTGGAACAGATGTCTCAAGAATCTTTCTTAGCAGATGAACTCTGCAGTACAATTTAACAATTTACCAATTTAGCATTTTGCTTTCGTACCACGTGTGGGTCCGACCGGCGTGGAATGGCCCCACAGTGGACATGAACTCCGCGACCTGATTTAAATGTCCTGCCATGGCTAACGGCAGCGGCGAGGGCGATATTTGAACTGCTTCCAGATCTCCACTTCGCGAACGCGCGCTGACCACCAGCGCGTGGTTAAGTGTGGTGAAACAACCTCGCTGGCCCAAAACGGCAGGGGGAGGAAAAGAAGAGGCCCTCAACCAGCTGTGGATTGAGCATTCACGATCTAATACAAGACGGGTGGAGCGGTGATGCAGCAGTCAGGCCACCTAGCTAGGAACTCGGCTACCCGAGTTCGACTCCTGGCCAGGGCTGACGTCAGTGGTGAAGCACGGTCAGACAGCCCCCAGGATCGACGTGGCATGGGAGAGGCCATTCACCCAGCGACGGAGTGGCAGAGGGGGGCTGCATATGGCTGCAGTGAGACGCGTGTGCCGTCGCACGACGTCGCGAGGACGAGTCCCTCGCCTTTTGCGTTTTGTAAATTTTGAATTAACCAAAGAATAACATTTTCTTGGGTCTTTCGGTAAAGTCACAAAGAAAATAACCCATCTCTGAACCTATCTCAGTGACTTTACCGAAAGACCCAAGAATATTAATTCCTGCAGTCACGAAAGCTTTAAGTCAAGATTCAAAGAATAACAGTTCTGCGAAAGGGCACAAAAACAGCCTTTGAATCCCGCACCGCAAGACGCCTCGGTGACGAGAGTCGGAGGTTTCCCGAGTTCCGTTCCTCGTGAGGCTGCTGCGCCTTTTCCAGCACACCGATGCACAGTACCCGCATTTTAAGCACGAATTTCGTTGCTATGCGCTTGCACGCGCCTGACTATTGCTAAACATTGTTTTTCCACGCGACGGAGAGAGAGGAGCCCGCTGTTTCGAATTGAGTTAGAGATCTTGTGTGTACGTGTGTGTGTGTGTGCGTGCATCCGTTCGTGTTAGCAAACGCCTATTAACGGTCACTGCTATACACGACCACACCTGCACAATCGCACAACAACAACAACAGCCATTCGCCAATAAGTGGCGGTGACGTTACCACGGTGCCTGTGCCAGGCCAGGTGCACCTTTGAGGCCACGTCAAGTGTCATTGTCCTGCTGGCCGGAGGTCACAGAACAGACCCAGGTGCCATGGGTTGACTGACTGAGATGACTGGCAGATGCACCACCTGTACTCCCCGCCGTGCCAACTCGCTGCCTTTTAGTAAACACGCACACGCGCCTACTGTAGCTCACAGGCGGTGGTGTACGTACACACACACACACTTGTACACACACGCCCCTTCGCGTGTGGGTAAGAGGTAACTTGAAGGGATCTGAGAGGGAACTCTGTGATATCCGCTCCCCTGGGCTGTTCTCTAACACAAAGGGTCACGCACTGCTTTGGGAGAGTTTCCGAATGGGCTGTTGGTCTGCTGACGTGACGGCGATAGCGCCATCGTGGATGAAACGCAGGGGAAATAAAACGTCCTGTGACTTGGCCGGGCACTAGCGCATTTGTTGCTTGATGGTTTACAGTTCAATCCCAGCTGCCACCCTGGTTAACACCGCAGGTGCATTGACCGTGGGTGCACAACCATCGGCCTCACAGTGGATGACGTTAAAGGTCCGTGAAGTTATTCGAAGAGTAGATTTGGACGTCGTGCTCCAAATTTGATCAATTACATTGCAAAAGTATTTAACAAGGAAAATAACCACATGGCAGCATTTCCCCCATACTGGCAGACCCAATTCCCACTTGCCAGCTGGTGCTGCATACACTTTGTGCCGCACAGGGACAGCTACCACTGGGGGGGGCTCCCTTGGCGATATTGCAGCAGGCCATTTAAGCCTTCGCCCGGACCATGCAAATCCTTCTTCTCTTTCGCAGAAAAAAGGGGACTGAGTTCCCTCTTCGTCACAAGATCCCATTTTTCAGCCCTTGGGGCCCCTTGGCTCCGACACTCACATTGCCTAGACTACTCTGTGTGCACGTGTGCACGTGTGTCTGTATAGCCGTGTACGTATGTGTAGGTGCATTCGAACAGCACTTGCCCCAACAATCTCTTAAGGCCATACGGGGGATCTTTTGTCTTTCTGTACGTATGTGTGCGAGTGGGAAGCGCTCGGTGTCGTGGTTAGTGCACCGCATTACAATCCTGGGAATCCACGTTCAGTTGCCGCTCGCGGTGAATATCTGATCTGGTCCTGGGCTTCGCCTCGGCCGGCTTAGCCGTACACTACTTACATGGTGCAATGTGGAATAAAACATGTGCACCGGTGGGAGACACCACTCCCCCTTATAGGTGCTCTGTGCCGGCCTTCATATGTGCTTGTCAAGAGCACTTGCCCCAACAAACTGTGTAGCCTATACGGGGGATATTTGTGTTCATGTGTGTGTGTGTAAATGGGGCTGTGCGATGCCGTGAGACTTGGCGTGGCTTGTCAGACAGCCCACCCTCTACTAGTGGCTGATCGAGCGGGGCCAAGACGCACACTTGCTCTTAATAATGGGAAGCAAGTTATGTACAATGGAGGCCAAAACCACAACTCGCATTAACACAAAACAAATGGCAGGCTTTTGGACCGGCTCCAAACAAACAGCCGCGCTTTCCACATTACTCTTAGCAAACGCCCACATACGCTCACCAGCACATGTATACACATACATGCACACGTATATGTACACACAGATAAACACATGCACACAAAGATCCCCGTAAAGCCTTTAACAGGCCCGTTGGGGCAAGTGCTATTCGCGAGCACCTATGAAAGGTGGCACGGCACACAAAGGGGTAGGTTGCCAGCACCACGCCCGGCCGTCTTTGTCTCCCTAGTGGCGATGTTTACACAGCGTACCAGGTACTCATTTGAGGCCGAGTCAATCTAGGGGAAGCCCGTGACCAGTACAGATAATCGCCACTGGTGCAGGCCATGAGCGGGAATCGCCACCGATGTTAGCCGGGGCCAAGAATTAGACTCGGGTCACCGAGTTTGTGTAGGGCAGTGCGCTAAGCGCTCGCCAACATATTATTGCTATCGTTACGGGCACGTCGATCGGCACTGCAAGCCTCCTTCGTAGCGTGATGGAGAAATGACGCACCGTGGTGACATATGGTAGGTTTGTTGTCCCGAGGGAGATGAGGCCTGCTGCCAATTTTGACGAACTTTGGTTGGGTAGTTTTTTTGTTGCTGCCACCGACGACCTCGGCAAACGGTGATTTGTGATCCCATTAATTAACCACGACGCTTATGTGCACACATCTAGCGCAGATGCTACAAGGAAGCTATTGCCAACGACGTTCATCAGGTTTTCATGGGAAACGTCAAAGGTGGAATCTTTTTCGTTGAGAAATGACCGTTCTTCCGCCGCACACGACTATTTGTTATGTGCCGAGTGATCGTGTGGCTGCATCGCCATGGCAACGGCACGGCTGCATCTCCATAGCAACGTCGCGGTTTAGATCATCACGATATCAAGAGGTTGAGCAATGTTTCATTTACATTTGAAATTCCGTGCAAAAGTGTCACATAACGTAAAATACATTGTAAGAGCTGCATAGGGATGTTATGTACTGATGAATACATTTAAATTGTTATACAGTATAGTGTTTTATATATGTTTAGTATTGTGCGCATTTTAAATGTATATTTCGTGGCTATTAGTGAAATTGGGTAAGTGGCCTGCGTTACGAACCCAGCCACCCAGATGGCCAGCATCGGTGATGAATATCTGAATCAGTTATAGGCCACTCCACTCCTAGGTTGACTCGGCACGCATAAATGAGAACCTGGTGCGGTGTGTAAACATCGCCACTCGAGAGTTGAAGGCGGCCAGGTGTTCATAGGTGATTGCTCGCAGCACTTGCCCCAAAAATCTGACAAGGCTGCATGCGGGATATTTGACTTTGTACATTTTAATTGTCATCTAGTAGTGTTACATAGTTTATAGTGCATTTCAAATGTCATACAGTGATGTTATGAAGTGTATAGCATATTCTACGTCCAATTCAGTGATGTTATGACGTGAATAACACTTAAAATGTTATTCAGTGATGTTATACCATGCATAACGTTTTAAATGGGATACAGTTTTAACATGGATCGTAAGCTCGCTTAAAAAAAAAACTTTTTCGAAGTAGCTTAAAGTGCAGCAGCTGCTTCTTTTCAATACATCTTATGGGTATAGATTGCTACCTTTCTACAACTATCCTGTAGCTTTAGCTTGCTACCCTTCAAATAAGCTTCCCCAACACTGTGCGTGCACGTAAAAGTGTCAGGCTAGCCACTTTAATGGACCATCTGCGCCACCTTGAACCATTCAGGCAGGCCTGCCTATGATCCATCATCCTGGATTTAACCAGACCCGATTATGCGATGAGCTCACAGATCCTTGAAAGATCTGGACGCAGTCCCATCAGTGAGCTCCCTCAGCATGCGAGGGGGCTGCCTTGGCTGGGTCATGTAGCCTGCGTGCCCAGCCACAGCATGCCCATGAAGCTTCTGTTTGGCAAGATGCGAGTGTGCTTAACGGGCACGGTAAAGGCTAGAGGAACTGCGGGGTGATGTGGTACGAGAGGAAGTGGAACTGATTGGACTTGCCAATGACTCGTACCAGGAGTGACAAGAGCGGAAGCTGCGGAGGAGGCTCACGAACGGCGCCGCTGGGCAGTTGACGACAAAATCAACGGAGGGCAGTCGAGCGATACAATCATGAGCCAATGGCGTCTCTTATGGGCCAGGGTTATGGAGTCTTCCGAGGGACGATATCTTTACCTTTAAAAAAAAACACATAATTCAATTGCACATGATGGTGGCTGTCATAGGCAACCAATTGTGGTGTCATTTGTGATGTGATGAGGAAGCACAGTCGGTGGAGCACTAAGTTTACTGTAATTCCCTTTTCTTTTTCTCTCCCTCCAGTCGTTACTACAGACCCATAATGTTATCTCAACGTCGCTTTGGTAACAAACATCATTTTTATAACAAGACAAAGATTCCCCATATAGCCTTAACAGACTGTAGGGGCAAGTGCTGTTAGCGAGCACCTATGAAGGCCTGCACGGCACACGAGGGGGTGGGTGGCCAACACCAAGCCTGGCCGCCTTTGTCTCCCCAGTGGCGATGTTGACACATCGCACCAGGTACTCATTTGAGGCTGAGTCGACCCAGGGGAGGCCCAGGACCGGTTCAGATTATCGTCACTGGTGTTGGCCGTGATGTTCGTAGCGCAGCGCACTGACCGCTACACTACCGCTCCCAACATTTGTATGAACACACATATACACACAGACACAAGGCACTTGTGCGTAAATGTACGCGTACACACACAGATGCACGCAAATACACGCACAAACATAAATGTGTACTGACGTTGACACGCATGCACACAAATGCACAAACGTGTGTGTTGCACACGATTGCATACACACTGACAAAAGCAGTCAATCTTAACCAGGCCACCAGCTCAACAGAACTGCATGTGTGGCTCTGCTCAGTTCTCGTGAGCATCGCGCCTCCACACAGACATTCTGGTGGAGGATGGCTGTCTCAAGCGGCCCAGTTGTCTGTTGCATGTACGTATGTTGAACTTTATGTAGACAACCGTGATAATTGGGCATATGCACATGCCCAGTAATGCACCCTTCTGTGCTTATTCTTAGAAGAAGCGCAATTTGTCCGTTAGTCACAAAATTACTGGGGTAACTTTCCACACGCGGAGCTGAGCGAGAGCCCATTCTGAGTGGAAGCAACCAGAGACTGACGCTATTAACGATGAGCCAGTACGACTTCTGACCTTTGATCTGCGCCAAAAAAAACACGACCCCAATAATTTCACGACGCTTCTGGCAATGCGTGGTGGCGTGCCCTCCACCCCCCCCCCCCCCAGTTTGGTTATTGTGGCTCATGTTGCAAAAAGTGACTGGGCGGTAGTGAACGGACCCGAATGAGGCTTCAGGTCACTCGCGCTTTTTCCATTTTCATGAACGATAGCTTTTTAAATATGAATTCATCCTGACTTAAAGCTTTCGTGACTGCAGGCATTCATATTCTTTGGGTCTTTCGGTAAAGTCACGTAGAACAAAACAAAAACGACGACGTTTCGATTGCTTGTGTTGCGCTCGAAAGGTCGTAGTTTTTTTGTAAATGTTTTTGTTCTACGTGACTTTACCGAAAGACCCAAAGAATATGAATTCATCCTCTTCGTACCCCCCCCCCCCCCCCCCCCCCCATTGAGGTTAGGTTAATTCTGGCCGTGGGTGACGCCGGGGGCAGGGTGGTGCCCAGCAATATGGACATCTTTGACAAAGAGCTTTACAGCTCATTGGATTTCCTCCGGTGTGAATATAGAACAGCGGGCGTCGTGGGTACGCTGCGTTTCGTCGTCGAATGCCCCGAGGTGGCTCTTCAGCCGTCGCCGTAGACAAGGGGCCCACCCGGCGAGCTGGGCCGGCTGGCTGGCCATGCTGCCCCATGGGGGCTCCGCCTGAGTGATAAATTGTGGTACCGCATCGGAATCGGTGCGTTTTGTGGTTGGAGAGCGGTGGTGCGGCGGTTAGCGCTACGCTGCGCTACAAACCTGGGCACCCGAGCTCGATTCCCGCTCACGGCCAACGCCGGTGACGATTATCCGAACCAGTCCCGGGCCTCCCCTAGGTCTCCTCAGCCTCAAATGAGTAACTGGTGCGGCGTGTAAACATCGCCGCTGGGGAGACAAAGGCGGCAAGGCGTGGTGCTGGCCACCCACCGCCTCGTGTGCCGCGCCGGCCTTCACAGGCACTCGCGAAACAGCGCTTGCCCCGGCGGTCTGTTAAGGCTACACTGGGGGATCTTTGTCTTTGTCTGTGGTGTGCAGGGCGCACACCATCGTCCTACTCGTGGAGTCTCTCCTGTTTGGCATCTTTGTGATCGTCATCCTCTACGACCAGGTGAGTTACGCTCGCACACACTCCCACACCCGCCGGGCACGATCACCACCTGCATGGCTGCGGCTAAACTGCCTCCGCGGGCCGCGGTCGGCTCCGGTGGTCGGTGGTAACTTCGTTCTAGATTTGAAGCTTTCGTGACTGCAAGGATTCATACTCTTAGGTTTTTTCGGTAAAGTCACCTAAGAGTATGGTAACATCGTTGTTCTTCATAACTCATTGACAGCGAATTACCGTGGTCGCTATTCCCGTCAACTTGAATTGTCGTATTCCTGCGCCCATGTTGGGGGGGGGGGGGGACTCGGGTCTGCCAGACGCTTGACTGGTTCCGTCTGATCCACCACCATCCTGCAGGTGACGGCAACTCGCCCACCCACTCGCTCGCTCTCTCGCCAACCGCTCCCTCACCCGCTTACTGATTCACCAACTCTCCCTCTCGCTCTCGCTTCATCGCTCACCACACTGCAGGTCGGATATGTTCATCTTAAAAATTTCGATTTAAAGCTTTCGTGACTGCAGTCAGACGCTGTCTTTCCAACAGACCTGTTCTTCACCTGAGGACAGCTGCTTGCGTTGTGGCCGAAACGTCGTGAGAATTATTTTATGTTTTATTTTTATTATTTTATTATTTCCCTTCTACGTGACTTTACCGAAAGAACCAAGAAGATGTTCATCTTTCTGTTAATATTTCTGCTCCTTCGGTGGCACCGCTCCATCGTCTCTCTAACCCTCGAGGCTCTTGTCACCTCGGTCAATTCAAGAAACCCGTTATTGATCACAACCTCAAAACAGCGCCGTTTGTTGCTGCCCGCTCGCCGCTCCGTGCCTTCGCTCAGCGACCGAGATGTGGGAAAAAACATAAACAAGGAGTGCGTGTGCGCGCGTTTTGGGCCGAGTTTATCTAGGGGGAGGCCCATGCCGGCCGCAGATGCCGAAGGGCGGTGACGTACACGGGCAGGAATTAGACATCGCGGCTGCTGGGATTGAAGAGGGGGGCCCCAGCCTGGCACGGAGCCACCTCAACACAGACAGACAAAGACAAAGATCCCCCATGTAGCCTTAATAAACTGTTGGGGCAAGTGTTGTTAGCGAGCACCTATGAAGGCCGCTACGGTACACGAGGGGTTGGGTGGCCAACACCACGCCGAACCGCCTTTGTTTCCCCAGTGGCGATGTTTACACAGTGCACCAGGTACTCATTTGAGGCTGAGTCGACCTAGGGGAGGAAGCCCAAGGCTGTTTCAGATAATCTTCACTGGTATTGGCCGTGAGCATGAATCGAACCCGGGTCGCCGGGTTCGTAGCGCAGCGCGCTAACTGCTACACTGCCGCGCACACACGCAGACAGACAGACATACACGCGCACACACACGCGCAGCCACAAAAACAAAGACGAAGATCCCCCTCGGAAAGCCCCCAACAGACTGCTGGTGCCGAGGGCCGTTAGCGAGCACATGTTGCGACCGGGGCGATGTGGCCGCCACCACGCCCAACCACATTTGCCTTCTCCCTAGAGCTGAAATGTTTTTTTTTTTACACACCACACCAAGTCGGTGAAGGTAAATCCCAGGACTATTTCGGAAAGCTCTCGCCGCTGACGTTAGCAGTCGTGGCTGGAAATTGAACATAGGGCAGCGGGGTTCGCAGTGCAGCGTGGTAGTCAAATGTGCCAACCAATCCACACACGCACGCACGGATAGACACAGATATATATCACTAATAGAGCAGAACCGAGTAAGAATCCGAATTGTCTCCCTCGGTTGAAAGTCAGCCGTCCATTGTTTCACCATCTCCTCCACATACATCCACCACCACCAGCAGCAACAACAACAACCGCCATTCGCCATTAAGTGGCTGTGACGTCACCACTGCGCTTGTGCCAGGATACGTGCACTTTAAGGCCACGTGAAGTGTCGAACGCTGACTGGCAGGTCACGGGATAGACCCAGTTGCCATGGGTTGACTGACTGAGATGACTGGCACTACCAGCAGAAGCAGCAGCAGCACCCTCACACTTTTCCATCTGTGCATAAATCGTCGCAGGCCGTACGGATCTAATCTTTGGTAAGTATTATCTCATTTTTAGCAAGTCCACCAAATTCCACAACATGACGGATGGATGGGACCGGGTCCCAATTTCCAGCAGATGCCGTGTGTGTGCTTGGGATTCTGAGTCATGGCCATGGAGCTATAAGAGAACTCCCAAACGCTATCCCCCCCCCACACACCCTGTGTCCTCATGTTTTTGCGCCATACTTTAAGCAGAATGGGCCTCGAGAAATTGGTCCGCAAAAATATTTACAATTTTTACGCTGCCATGGTGTAATGGTTAGCACACTGACCTTGCAGTAGGAGCAATTATAATGATACTTTCCACTAGTAGCGCGGAATAGGCAGCCCAGCGGTGAGCCGGCACCGGCAATTTCCCAAGCTTTGCCGTCCTCTATACGTGAAGAAGGTTTTCAGCCAATGAATGAGTGTTCACGATCCAGAGTCCACCGGTTGAATTTGATCTCCAGGCGCGGCAGTTGAAGCAATGGGGCGTGTTTCTTAGATCCCCCCGCCCCAAACCGCCTCTGTCCACCCGGCGGTGTGAACGGGTTCATGCCGCCGTTGATCGGCAGCCCGCGTGTGGTGGCCAGCATCGCAGAGTAGGTCAATTATCCTCGACAGAGCTCCCTCTAGTGGAGGCCACTTCCACCAGCAGTGGCACGAGCTGGTTTCCTTCCTCATGTCACGGTGGTGAGATGTTTACTACTTCGCCTGGTATAGAGGAGGTCGCGGGTTCGATCCGGACCCTGACACCTGTATAGTTGGAGTCTGCTTGTTCCGTGCCCTTCGAGTATTTGGCTGCTATCAATGTCCACATGAATAGCCGATTAATTGAGCTATTACTTGTGGCCAGGTCGCTTCTGAAAAAGAGCCGTATAGCTCAGTGGGCCTTCCGTGATAGAATAAAATAAAAAGTTCACTTTAGTTTTAGTTTCATGTCGAGCACTCCAGAAGGGAACTGGCCAACCACCGCATTGCAGGACCCTCCTGAAAAATAAGTCTTGAGACTCAGTGAGGTTTTTTTTAAACTTGTTTTAGATAATCAAAGGCATCGCTATTTGACCAGGCCATTCGGCATCGTTTGTGTTTCAACGAGTCTCGGAGAATAAAAAAAACAGTCAGCGGATTGCTGTCCAAACAAACACCACCCCAGCACTCTGGCCGAGGAGTCAGGCAGGCCGATGATTACGTGCGATGTCACCCCGCGACATTCACACGCCGTGCGCCCTGAGATCACCCCCCGTTGTCCGGCTCGGTGACGTGTAACCGTCGCGGCGTCGTACTTGGTACGAGGCCCTACGGGCGCAGCCGCCTCTTGCGTGCGCCTCATGCGGGCGCCGCCGTTATGGTCACTGGAACGCGTCCGGGGGCAGAGCTGCGTGTGTTGAGAGCGCGCTTCGTAAAATCCATGCGTGCGCAAAATCTTTTGTTTCTTCTCTTAGTTATTTAGCGCTAAATGTAGTTTGAAACGTGCAGCCGTCACTTTCGGCGGGAGCCAACGACGTGAGCTGACCGCTGCGATGAACGGAACGGCTTGACAATTGCCTCTGCAAGGTTTGCCGCACGTCGTCCAAAATGCGCACGGTGCAGCAACAATGACTGCGACGCCCTCCAACATCAGTCGGTCTTCTGGGATATTTTCAAACGCGGCAATACCCTGATTTACGTCTCCCCTTTTCACGTCGTTTCGTAAATATATATATCATCACTTAATTGTTACTACTACCCGGTTGGCGTCGCCTCAACCCACACTTACGTCGCTGACATCATCCGCCCTTTCTCGTTATCCGCCGCCTCTCAGCCTTCACCTCCACCGCCTACCCTGTAAATCGCTTCGATTGACGTCGCTTCAATATTTGTCGTCGCACCTTTCAGGAACGCATCCTCCGACATAAACCGGCGTATTACTGGAGTCCTTTTTGGACCGGTTTTGTTTCCCCAAAGGATTTGGGCAACCCTCCGATCAATGCAGCCAGATTTCAACAGGGTGAGTCCCTAGGCGCAGCACAACTTTACGCAAAAGTTTGGTTCATTTTGGATCACCTTAAAATGAGTTATCGAGTTAGCCATGTGGCGGTGGCGCACGCCCGTAATCCAGCACTATGGAGGCAGCGGCGAGGGTTGGCGGATCATACGCAGATGGGCCCTGAAACTCCTTTCCCGTGGGCGTCGACGAGGTGCCATGGGCCTGGCTTGGGAACGGAGAAGTCGGCACAAAATGTGGACCTCCACCCGTTCCGAATGTGCGGGATCGAGTGTTACCCCCTCGCACGCGTGGCCCCGGTTTCCTCCCACATGGCTGAAAACACCTTAATATATATGTAGGGGACTGCAGAGCTTGGGCAATTCTTGGCACCGGCTCGCCGCGTGGCTGCTGCCATCCCGTTTGTCAGCGGTTCCTCCTCGCGCATCTTGAGCCGTTCTTACTCTGCGGCTTGTCACAAGTCGACATTGTTGACATTACCACGGACGGATGGACAAAGCTGACGCTTTAATGCTTTCAAGCTCTGCTAGAAAGCGTAAAGAATGGGAAGTGTTGTTTGTGAGGAGCGCGACTGGTGACACAGACACGGGGGAGAAGCTGGAGTCAAAACCCCGATGAAAATTATCTCACAACAGCAGCGGCGGCGGCGGCTTGCACGTCAGAAGAAGAAGAAAAGCCATCTGGCGACTTTAAAAACAAGGGCATTTATAAATATGATGCCAATTATTGTGTTTGTTGATCAAACAGTAGATGTTAATGTTTGCCATATTTTTTCGCGCACACGGAGGGACGCATGGACGCACGCACCGACCCCAGCCCTTGGCTGGGAGAATCGCGGCGGTGGATAAATTAAACGGCTGTGTGTGAACTCGATCGGCGCCGCACAATAATACGGGGGTGGGGGGGGGAGAAATTACAGCGATCAAACAGGATAATTTCCTACTTGGAAATTTCACAATTGTCAAAT